GCTATGTGTACAGCCTAAAAAAGTTACCTGACCCGGTGGGCATAGCCAACACTAAATGACAGTAGATCATTAGCGCTCCTTGTCCTACGAAAAAACTGTGACATGATCTTTCTCCTCATTCACTTCTTTACATGCTATAATCATAGCGTCGATATGATTGTCGCCATTTATCGCTGACAGTTGCGGTCGATAGTTGTGATAAGGAATCTAACCGTGGGATTCTGAGACCAAAATATTCGTTTAGAACATATTTTTATCTCTGCTATTTCGAAGATAATTAGGAAGGACGAAATGTTATATTTAGACATTTTCGTCTCAAAAACCCAGGATAATAAAGATAGAACATCTGTCTGGTATATTATCCGTTGCATTTAAGTCGGAGCAATGCTTCGTATTGCAGCTGTCTCGTCATATTTTTAATATCGTTTTCTATATGTATGCCTAAGTAGCGCATCTCTTACCGTGTCAGATAAATTTGTCGCACTATAAACGTCGTAATGCGGTCCGGTTCGTGTTAGATCCGGATTAATGGATCTGTACTGAAGCGAAAGGGGGTTTGATTTAATGCATTCAATGGAATTAATTATTAATCCACTAATCCTAAAGCAAACGCTTTCCCGATTCTATTTGCTAGATACTGTGATTATGCGAGCTTTAAACATCATCATCCACCTGCCAGTACCCCTACTTAGGGTCGGCCCAATACTCCTCCATACATCTCTATCAGCCGTCATATCTAAATCCACCCCTTTATTACGCATACTTTCTTTGATATTCCTCTACCTTTGTAGCCATTCACATTCAATCTCATTACTCAACATGTCTATTATCCACGATTAAAACATTTATTTAATATACTATTTGTTAATTAAAACACGTTTAAAGAGGGTATTTTGTAAAGAACCCCCCAGGATCTGTCTGATCTCGCAAGAAACTCGACATTCTTCTGTACGGTCGTGGTATTTCACCGGGCGAGCCGGCCTGTTCGTGCTATAGATTGTTGCTGGCATCTACCACTTGTTTGAAAAATCCGGTAGAGGTAGGTCTATGAATAGGTGAAATGGGACATGTTTAAGAAGAGGGCGATGACGTAGATAGACGGTAAATAGATTGGAGGACAGAAACCTGGTGCGCCCACCCTACGTAAGTGGGACAGGGGCTAGATGATGATGATTATTGTACAGATGTGTCAGCAGTGGATGTGTTAAATAGCAAAGAACACTGAATTTCAACTAACAGCATGAATTCGTCACAAGACGGGTAATTTATGTCTGATTGCAACGTATTCATGTTCTCTTGAAAAATGTTGAAAAGTTGTAGAATTTTGCTCGTGAAAGCCTTGAATTTCCACTACCATAAGACTTGTATTAAAACACTAGTTATCGCCCGCGACTCCGTCCGCGCAGATTAATAGAATCTTAATTAGTAGCCTATGTTTTCTTCCAGAATATGCTCTACATCTATGCTATTGCGAGATCTGTATAGCTGTCCTGGAGATACGTAATAACAAACATCCATCCATCAAAAGATTGTATGTTTGAAGATCATATATATATGATTTAAAACAGGTGTTAATTACAAAGATAAATTGCCAATTAACTTTATAATTACTTAAAGTTGTCACATTTGTCGTTACCCGGTTCTCATATTAAATGGCATATTCGTAACTTTAAATTGAGTTTTCCCCGTTAACGATTTGTTATATTCAACAGATTTCGTACTCACAAAGTGTAATGGTGTGTAATGAAATGATCAAATGAGTTTAATTTTATTGTTATTTATTGATTTATTAACTTTTAACTCAATTATATTATAACCACGATTTAACAATCGATCTAAGTTAGTTTTAATTTTTATAATTCAATTAATAATAAGACAAATAGGCTGCAGGAAGCGAAAAGCGAGGCGGCACTACGTGGGGCGATGTAATCAAAAGTACAGAGGGGTAAGACAAAATGCATTGACTTCGAAGCGATTCCATAGCGAACTACAAAAATGTATGGAACTGACGCGCAACAATCACGTGACTTATCGAAAGTTATTGTCAGTTCTATAAATTTCTTAGTTCGTTAATGAATCGCTTAGGAGCGAATGTACTTTTTCTAATCCCCTCCCCCCTTTTTCAGAGGGGAATGCTTTATGCATACTCCGCGAACCCGAGTGGGGACGCGATAGTTATGTGGGATTCTCTTCCGGGTGGAAGCATACCGACTAAACCCCTCTGTTCCTCCAACGCATCGGGACGGGACCACGGGCACGCTTTCGCTCTCATCCGCGACCCTGTCTGCGTCAGCCGAGGCACCCTTCAGTCAAAGGTGATGGACTAACTGGTCTAACCTCCCTGAACAAAACAGTGTTGTCCACGAAACAAACAAGCGACCCATCCGTCTCGCTGTTCTGCCCGTTGCTAAAACATAATGAAATGTACTTATTTATTTATTCAATTATATGTGACTTTCTTTGCTATTAATATAAAGTCAGATTTCTTAGTTTCTGTAAATATATTCAGGATTATAAATATTGATGTTTATCCATTGCATTCCTAAAATACTCCAAAGAATTGGTGAAACATTGGTACGAATTTCGTAACGAAAAAATACATAAACTTAACAGATTTTAAAAAGTTCCTTCACCGAGTTATTGCGAAATTATCTCTGTGTAATATTGTTTAATATTTCAATATGTATTTAAAAATAAATATCCACACGTGTGAAGCTGGGAGAGTGCGATAGTATGATGTAAAACGTACATAAACCCGAGTGCGGTTCAGTAAAACAATAATGAAGTAAGAAAGTGCCAAAAACTACTATAATATTTCAGCCAATCCTTGATCTTCAAAGTATTATCTTTGTGCATCAAGACGTGTGGTCTAAGAATAATAATAAGACATTTAAACCGTTCAAAAACATTATATATATCATCAGCTCACTATACGAGTACGTCCCCACTGAGGGGCTCCGAGCCTACCCTTTGTTAGGGGTGACTAGGCCATAGTCAACCACGCTTGCCCCGTGCGGGTTGAATTCACATATATCATTGAATTCCTTCTCAGATATGTGCAGGTTGCATCACGATGTTTTCCTTCACCGTAAGAACGTCGGATAAATGTACATATGTAAATCGGAAATGGAAAAACACATTGGTACATGACGGGATTCGAACCCAGGACCTGCAGATTGCAAGTCGAGTGCTTAAACCCCTGAGCCACCGATGCTCTTAACATTATCATATTAAGATAAAATCAAATAAATTAAAATACAATTAAAAAACAAAAGACAAAAAAGGCTGTAGTCAATAATATGAACAGACACAAAGTGACATGTTCTTGTCTGTTTTTTTTTTGTTCAACGAAAATTCCATTTTTATTAAAAAATTCAGACAGTAAAAACTAATCTATATAGATATATCTTACTAATATAATAAATGCGTAAATTTGAATGAATGTTTGTTACCACTTAACTCAACTCCAACAGGGATCAACAGGTCTCGTTGAAAGGCTTAAATGTAGAACATAGTCTGGAAGAACACACAGACTAATTAAGCTATTTTAAAAATTCCGTACAGACGGAGTCACAGGCAAAATTTGGTTTTGAATATTTGCACAAATAATAATATCAATTACTTGTACCACACGCCCAAGTGTACGTGCTTCCAAATATAGAGCTATAAATGTTCGCTTTTCTTGAATTCTAAAATACTTTACGACGCTTTTGGCAAATTTTCAGATTCCCGTCAAAAGATTGCACGGAACTCGTTATGTTTTACATATTTTTGTTTACGTTATCTACATTTTATAGATAAACCTGTCGCTCGCGAATTTAAAAACTTAATTAGTTGCCTATGTGTTCTATCAGACTATGTTCTACATCTATGCCAAATTATAGCGAGAATCGTTTAGCCGTTTTGGAGATACCTTCAAACAAACATCCATCCAAACATACACATTTATCATATTAGTTAAATTATACAAATTACTATAGTATTTGTAACCAGCAACTGTTACAATGCAAAAGTCATATTGATATGAAATACGATATACATAATGAAAATGTCTAAATAAAAATCTGGGGACAATCCACAGCGGTTATAGCGTTAATTATATTAAATATTTGTATTGTAAATTGTATGGGTAATAAGTAAAAAAGGGTCTTGACAAACAGACAGACGAACAACAAAGTGATACTATAAGGGTTCTGCTTTTTTCCTTTGAAGTACGGAACCCTTAAAAGCAACTTGCACTTCAAGTAAAACCTTCTCTGACGTCGTTATAGTTATAGTTATCTTTATAGTTACTTAGGAACAATTAAAAACACATTACTATAGAGAATTTTATTTATCTTTGTAATTAAAATAACTTTTAATTTGCCCATCTTTTTAATCTGTAATTTGATATTTAAATTCTAAGGAATCTTTTGCATACGGAAAATATAATTTCATGAAAACATGCATCTCGTATAGAAGTATCTTTAAGTAAAATCTTGAATGAATATAGGTCAGGTTATGAAAGTCAAAAATCTTGTACATACAATTTTCTCAAGTTATTTGAGTGACAAGATTGGATGTGAATAGCTACAAAGGTAGAGGAAGAAAGAAGGAAGATCAGTGGTCTAATTGTAGTCCTCGTTCGCAAGATAATTTTGACAGAGGAGAGGACGCACAGAAGGACATTATTTTACCTTCCTAAGCGTCCTCTCCTCTGCTGATTAGAAGTAGGCAAAATATCTGGAATTGCCGATGTCTACAGTGTACAAAGGTACGCGTCCACTGGCCCGCGTCGAAAACACCGCACCACGGCCAGCAACGGCTTGCTTGTTGATAAATGCCGTCTTTCGATGTGGGTAGCGAGGACAAAGCCGTGCATGCGCTACGTCCGGGTTGGACCAATAGACGTGTACCTTTATTCGAGTTTTAAAGATTCCTATATAATAAAACCTATCAAACAAAACTCCTTGCTTACTTCTAAGTCAATTCAGACATTCAAATATGAAACATAACAGACATGTCAAAGTCAATATTAAGAAGATAAATTCTCGCAAGTAAATCTAATTCAAAGCATAATAGTTTACTGTTTTTAATTTAAAAAAAATGCGGAGAAAATCCAATGTATCAATAATATAATTCTTCTGCTAATTTGGGGTGAGCTTAAATTTTTATCATATACCATATCTTAGACATAAATCAGTCATCAGCCTCTTTACATCAGTATTGAAAATTCCAATTATTATTTAAACCTTATACATATAAAGAAAACATTTGTGAAATTGTGTAAATCTTATGCGACTTTAATTTAAAACTCTTATACCACATTCTTCTTCACCACAACGAGTAACTGCCCATACTGCCATTGATAGTTGTTTGGTCGAATATCACTTTCGTGGGATTTGTCAGGAATTATGATTATGCGTAGTGACTTAAAATATCTAAAGATTAACATTCAAAACTATTTATAAGACAACATTGGAAAAGAATAATCTAACTCTCTTATAATTTCCAAAAAGTATTTTTAAATCGCTGTAAATACTTATTTTAGTATCAAATAAACTTAACAATTTTAACTCTTAATTAATCTCCTAATGTACTATACTATTAATTTATTGACTACCTTTTAAATCTTATGAAAACCATCAACAAAGCAATATACAATGATGAGTGGAGGACTAATGTTTTTGTTTCCAGAAGAAATCGAGCAGTAGAATAAGAAACAATGGGCAAAGAGAATCGTTCGAAGAATAAAGATGCCATCAAATCAATGCTTAAGAAGTCCATCAATAATACACTTAAAGGATCACGAACTTTTACGCCTTGCAATTTACAAATAGCAAAAAGTAACATACTTTTATTAAAAAATAAAAGTTCATATCACAATGTACTGAAGAAAACTGATAAAATGATGAAGGATCATTGCATGGAAACAGACTTTTGTGTACTGAGACGGTATTACAAAGCTAAAAAAAATAAAATCACCAAAAAGGAAACATTAAATTCAAGATCTAAATATTCCGTTAATAAAGAACCCATTTTAGATGGATTTGAAAAATCTAAAACAGATAGCAGCGCATGTGGAGATAGTAAACAACCGATAACTATTAATGATATTGAAGATTTTAATGCTAATCTGACAAATCTAGTCATAAACAACTTAAACAAATTACTAAGAGATTGGATAAAGAATTATTTATTTAACAATGACGATACTAAAAAGAAAATACAAATTATTCTCGATTCAATGCTTAATAAGTTAGAAGGAAAGAATAATTATGTGTCGTCGTGTTCTACCTACACAGTTGACATACGAATAAAGGAATCAAATTCAAAAACTAATTCAGATTCTAATTTAGAGACGTCACAAAGTTTTAAAATTGATTGTTCTTCAAGAGGAGGTGAAATAGATATACCTAAATGTAAAACATTTTCAAGTATTACAGTTCCTATGGCGATAAGACATTTTTCTATAATTTCAACGTTGAGCGTACCAAGATATTTCCATACTTGTCATCAAAAAATGAATAAGAATAAATTATGCCGTTCACGTACTAAAGTAAAGAGATGCTACAAAAAGAATATAATGCTTACATTAAGCAGGTCTAATGGAATAATTTCAAACTCATCGAGTATTGATTTTTTGGAGATATCAACGAAATCTTTGACAAAACATTTTGCAGCTTATAGAGATAAGAACATGATTAAGAGAAGCTCAAAGAAGCGAAGAATAGTTTTCATACCAAGTTCTTATTGCAAATTTCCGGGTTCTACATCAGTGACTAATATTAATGAAGAAACTTTAATTAGAAAATTAAAACCAAATGAAAGGAGACAGCCTTTAGATACTCTACCTAGTTTGGTTAAAACTATTTTTACTGATGATTTATGCACCAGTACCGATGAAAGTGTCGAGAAAAAGGACATAAGTATAGTAACCGACGAACAAATATCCAGAAAAGAAGAAAAAAATACGAAGCAAGTTCGTGAAAATTCAACCAATATGTCTCCATGTAAAACATCTAACGCTGCCACGGGTAATGAACCATCCCGACCACAATCCCCACAAAGTAAACCAAAGGCTCCTATTAAACGTCTTACTATTTCTGACAATAATACATCGATTGTAAACGTCAAATCAGACGACAGAGCTAAAGTAGTGAAATCATTCAGTTGTAAAGCATGTTTTAATGACAAATTCGAAGAGGACAAAAGGGGTCCTCCTTTACTAACGATTGATTTTGTAAACGCAGATAAATGTAATACATGTCGCAAAGATGGCTTAGTTGAAACAGCATCAGTCATCCGTCGGATAAATTCGCTAAGGAAAATATTTGGTAAAAAGAAAGAATGCTGTAAGAAAAAACCAGAAGCACAAAATTCGGTGGAGTTCGACAAAATCAAACATAAACGTTTTTGTTATGTTCACAAGAAATCCAATCCCAAATTGAATACATGTGAATTTATAAATCATTTTCAAAATTTATTTAACTATTTTGCCACTTACAAAGGTAAAAGAAATATCAAATTAGACATTCGTATCAATGTATATCCAACATTTGAAGGTGGATCGTGTCGTAACTTGTCCAAAGATAATAAAAAGCCGTGTCAAAAATGTAATACTGACACAGAAAATTCAAGCACTACATCTTTTGGTTCGAGACACTCATTGTTCAAAAGTAACTCAAGCACTAAAATAACACATTGCTGCAATTGTGCTCCCAAACTTATATCAATTTTTGAAGACAAATTTAATGATAGGAAGACGAAAGAAAGGATGGAAACTAAAACATCTCATTTTAAAGATAGCTGTGATATTAAAAAAGATATAAGTAACAAAATAACTACAACAGCTGATTTAGAAATCGCGCAAGAAGTTTTCCAACTCCGAAATATAATTAAAGATTTGGCAGTCACAGCAGAGAAATTTGTGAATGAACATCTGAAGACCACAAGTTTAAAAACAGATAATAAAAAATCTAACCTCGATCAGACGATATTGTTTAGTACTAATATGGAGAGCGTCCAAACAACGTCTAAAGATGACACAGTAAAACCAAAAGAAATAGAACGTCGTCCATCAAAAGAAACTCAAATAACTAATAATGCATCATGTCAAAATCTTCCTGCTATAAAAGTAAAGAAAGATGTTAAGAAAAATATTAGAGACTTCCACGCTCGTCTTATGAAGAAAAGTACTTCATATAATGTTATTGATAGTGAAACTATTCTGAAAGTAACTGACATGACTTCAGCAGCTCAAGCGATACACCTCAATTCTGTCACCGATGAAGCTTTAACATGCTCTTTACCTAAATGTAAATCTTTGTACGACATATCTGTTGATTCAAATAAGAATAAGTTGGTTGCATTTTATTGTGAAGAACTGATTACGAAACTTGATAATGAAAATGTGCATAAAGCACCTTCACGGGGTCTTACATCTCAAGCACAAAAAACTATTTATCCTGACAAAGATAAATCTTCAACAAACATTACTTCTAATGATAAACAGAAAAGCATAAATAAAGAAGTGGATTGTACGAAATGTTTACCGAATGTTGATAATTATGATACGAATAGTTATTCATGTTCATCTGTTTTCATTAATGTTAACGATAAATCAACTGAGAATAAAATTAAAATACGTACGCGTCGATCTATTGGTTTTAAAGAAGGTTCATTGTACTGCTTATTGCTTTGGATACCAGTAATTGTGATTATGTGGTTGTTATACACTTATATTATCAAAGATAAACTTAAACCTAAATTATTTTCATTCGATAAGTTGTCGAGATCATTAGATTTTGGAAAAAATGGATCTCGTCTTAGTATTACATTGTCCGATTTAGGATTTTAGTTGTAATGTTTGTATTGGTTTGGAAAATAAAAAACGTTAATGTGTTTATATCATTTTATCTCCTTTAATGCCAAAACTAATAATATAAATATATAATTATATCTAAGAGATAAAAATTATCATCTTGTTACAGTCGTTACGAATATAAAATGCTGTATCTAGAAGATAATGATCCTGATATTAAAGAAAATAGCCATAAAACGATGGAACCTAAAATGGATTTAGAAAAATCAAATATTACAAAAATGAGTTGTGAAAACGAGAATATTGATATAGAAGTCGATGGAAGTTCTTCAACTGACGAATCTGTGATAAATTTAAAATTATCTTCAGCTTCTACTAAAACTTTAATCGAGCGTACAGCAAATTTGGAAAATGACGAAGAAAGTAGACCTAAAGAGGAAAATCATGAAGAAAATTACGAAAACAGTATTTCACGTGAAATTGTAAACATCGATTTGAATGAAGATATATCCAATAAGGACAAAAACAATACATTTGTAAACGACTCTAGAGAGCTTACAAAATTCTTCGATGATACACCAAGCGCATTAAAAAAATCAGAAACAGAAAATCTTCAAGATGTATGTACCACAAAAACTAGTAAGAAATCTTTAAAATTTGTAAGTTACACAAATCTTGAATATGATATTCTAGCATCAAAAAGTTTATGTACTCTGGATAAAAGCGTAAATAAATCTCTGAATACTAAAACAATATTTCGTCAAGGTGATATAATTAATGTAAATACAGCACAAATAAAAACTATATTCAACACTTACCGTAAACCTTTTGAAGCGAATAATCACTCAGATCTTGGAATTAGAGAAAACCGTGCAATCGCAACGAATCTTAAAAATATTGTATCAGAACTTGCTTCTTCTTTTTCAATCTCATCTGATTCCAAAAAGGGCAGTTTCTCAAGTTCAAATAATTACAATGCTAGCGATATTAGTCAAACAACTCTAACAACGTCAAATGCTCCTAATATACTTATTATAAATTCCAGTTCTCTTTTTAATCAAATTTATTTAGACTCAGATCAAAGATTTGAACGGCAACATGAAAAGGCTATTGTTATAAATGAAAATAAAGAAGATTTCAATGATAGAAAAGATACTATTGCTATACAGAAGAATAATGAAAGCGAAAAGTTTTCTTTTAGAAATCAAAGTGAAGTTGCAGCTTTAAGTGTAAAAGTACGACAAGATTTTTATAAAAAGAAACAAGTGTATTCAGAAAGTAATTTACAAAAGGATTTCAGATTAGATTTAACTAAAATGACATGTATGAAATCTGTTATGTCAGGGACAGAAGATATATTTGATAAGGACGAATACAAATTGAAATTAACAAAAAATGAACTATGGGAAACATTGATATTAGCACTTGATATAACAGCTAAAAGACTTGAAGATACTTTGAGTGAAAAAATTATAAATAAAGTTAATAAATCCTTAAATATTTTAAGTAAATCAATAAATCTACCAACACAACAAAATCTAGATTTGAAAGCGGAAACTAAATTGATAGGAGATACAATAAAACAAGGGAAAGTATTGAACATTAGGAAACCATTGCTAGAGAGAAGGCCATCAAAATTGGAAATAGACGCGTGTTTACAATGTGATATCGTAAGAACTTCATTCATAGACGAGCATTTGCAGAAATTTAAATTGGAGAAAGCCAAAAATGAATCTAAATTGAAGGAAACTAAAATTTTAATAGATAATTTGGCAGGACAACTGGTGCCAGGTAAAAAATCTTCTCTTGAAGAAAGTACCAAAGATTCTCCTAAAGTTTTAACTAAAGTAGCAACTGCTAAAAAGAGACATCAATTCCAACGTTTTAAAATTATATTACGTAATACATTTAAATTTATTGTGGAAAATGCTTTAGTGATTATTAGTGTACCGTCATTTTTATTCGTATTATTCCTGCTCTATGGTGTTATCTTATTAGCAATGAAACCGTGGTGATTGGTGATGTTAATTGTAATCATTGTGTAATATACTATTTGGTTTTACTAAATTGAAGTATACTTTCTTACGTAGACCGTCAGCTCGGGGGTTAAATGGGTCTCGCAAAGTTCAGGTCCTGAGTTCGAACTCCGACATGTATTTTTTTTTATATCATACTGTGACAAAATAGCTGAAATAGCTAAGTGACTGTTGCCCAAAGACATACGCAATTGCATATGCGTTGCCTACCTTTAATCGACGGAGGATAGGATGCACAGAAAGAAAATATTTTCCCTTCCCATGCATCCTCTCATCCGGAAAGTCCACTTCCACTTCCCATCCTTTCCTTATAAGAAAAATGGTGGGAAGGGAAAGAGGACTAAATTAGGCCTCCGCGACGCACACTCATCAGAAGAAAAGCGGAATTGCTTCCATTTTACGCCTGTCTTCTGTTTGTCGTGGTATTTCACCGGGCGAGCCGGACCAATCCGTGCGAAGATGTGAAAGCAGGCTCTACCACTGTAACCAATGTGTTTTTCGATTTCTCGCTGACTTACTGTGAAGGAATACATTGTACCTGCACACATCTGATAAGAGATGCAAAGATATATGTCAAACCGTTATACGTTAAAACGCACTGCGAATACCTCCATATAGTTGTTAATTCAATTAACAATATTAACCAAAGCGCAAATGAATATAAATATTTGAAATTGTGGGTAAGTTTTTGTAGATACATCTGAGCGTAGCTAGTACTGAAGCCTTAAATCGACAGACATTTGACTAATGATTAGTCAACATAATACTGATTGTACAATGAATTTATGTCTATATAACTAACACCGATTAATTTACATTAATTAAGATTCAGTTTATCTGATTTATTACTCAGTTCTTAATTAAATTGATAAATGTTGTTATGGACAAAGATATTAATCGATTTGCCATAGATTCCTGTATTGTTAGATTATAAGAAAACATTGCTATTGACTTCTCTATGATTCGACAAAATCGGTCAGCCATTTTGAATATAATCGGAACGCACAAACGTTAAAACATACTTAACCTATAGAACACAACCCTAATTCAGTAGGGACATAACAATTGAAAATCGGAAGACAAAGATTTTACAGAAATCGTAAACGCTGTAATTAAATTGAAACAAGTAATAATTTCAAAGAAAAACATTTATTATAGTTATAAAATTTTTCGGAAATAAATAATTAGAAGTAATTGTAAAATAGACTGAATGTTTTATATACATAAATAACTCGATATATATAATATGTATACACAAGAAATAAGGGAAATCAAATTCACTTTTCATATTGCAAGTGACCAGCAAACTGTAGGTTTCCACTGCAAAGAAGTCAGTAAATTTTCCTACAGGCGTTTCAAGACAGTGGAAACTCACATCAAGAAGTAAGCATAGACAGAAAAAATAATTTAAGAAAATAATTGAAAGATTCCGTAAAAGAACGCTTTTTAAAACAAAAGAATAAATTTTAAAATGTTAACAAAGTATGAACATTTTAAAAATTACTACTCCATGTTTTAAGCGTAGTTTTAAAGTAACAGGAATAAATAATTAAATATTATTGTCATGAGTAGAGATTGACTATTGTTCTTTAGCGAGTACAAGGTGACCAGATCTATCCACAGTGAAGAGCGGACGAGGGCGACGGCTCCTAAAACAGAAAAAAAATAGTAACAAAAAAAGCATTGCAATGTAGTAACATTATTGCAGAATAGTAACAAAATTGCATTCTTAGTAACTTTTCTGTAAAAGTGTCAGCCAATGAGGTGGCTCTAATATCGACAGTGGCGACATAGTTACCTTAGTCTCGCACTCCTGTTCCTAGAGGGCGTAGCGACAGCAGTGGCCTGGGCAATAGCTGGGGCTTCTTCAGTAGTCTCCTAAAAAGAGAAAGTACATTTCGTTTTTCTTGATTTACATCTTAATTTCATACAGTATATTATTATACAATTGAATTAATAGTTATTGATTTGCTCATCGTTGAAATAGTGAAGTGAACGCGGCCCAAAGTTTGCTGCAAAAAGTTCTAATGTTGCAGATTTATACTGTTAGGAAGAAAATCCGACACTGTGTCGATGTATCAGCGCAACAATAGCCTTATGAAAATGTCAACGTTTATGTCCCCTCACTAATCATTCTGACACTTGACTTCTAAATATACAAAAGGATGTTTTATTTTCCTATACATTCAATTGCCATCCTTTTCTTATTAAAACAGGATGAAAGAGAAATAGTATTTGGATTATTAGTTAAAAAAATGTACGGTACAATTACACAATATACATTTACATGTATTATAGAATGAAAGTTGTTATTAAGCGTTGTTTTTTAATCATTATATTGGGTCAAAAGTTGACCTAAAAACCATAGCAAGGGCATTTTCATGCTTTTTAAAAGAGATGTTATAACACATTTGCCTGCCAGCTACTCGCTTCTCGTGATTTTTCACGTGCAAAAAAAAAACGCGTAGATGAAAATTATTAAAGTGCTATTGAAAAAAAAAGTTCTCACTTCTCAAGTTAATAACTTGAACATATCGATTCGTGTCCAAAGTGCCACTTTGAAGCTTATTGCGTTCAATTAAATATTTACTGAATGAAACATTTTATCTGACTTTAATTTTATTTGCACTGAAATTTAATTTAATCTATAAAATTTGTGACTATCGTTCAGAATTTTTAACTATGATAAAAGTAATCGGTTGCTCAGGGGTTAACCACTTGACTTGTAATCTGCAAGACCTGGGTTCGAATCCCGAAATTTAATTATGTTTTATTCCGACGGTCTTACGGTGTAGAAAAATATCATGATTTAACCCGCACATTTCTAAGCAATTAAAAGACACGTGTGAAGTCAACCCGCACTTGGCCAGCATCTATTGCCTAGATACCCCTAACTTAGGGTGAGCTCCGAGCTCCTAGGAGGGGACGTATAGTGAGCTCATGATGAAATAATTTTAAGCACGACATAAGCTTTACTTAAGCTTTAGCACGAATTGGCCGTTCAACCGAGGCAATATCACAAATAAAAAGAAGGCAGGAGACACTAATACTAATCTCTTTTCTTCCCACCCTTTTCAAGTAAGGAAAGTGTGGGAAAGGGAAGTTGGTGAGGCAGTAAATGTAAATTTACTAACCTCAATATCAGATTCCGTTGTGGTTTGGTATCCACGATTAGCTTGATCTCTTGGACTAGAAGCGGGAACACCGTATTGAGAAAAAGCACGGGGTTGAGTTCTGAAAAAACAAATACACAGTGTAAAACGATGTTTAATTCATGAGGAATTTTTAGTAAGATAAAAAAAGTAAAAGAAGTTCGTACTTTTTTAAAATCTAAAGTTGCGTCATTTTCAGCTCAATTGATTATAAGGAAATGGGTGTAAATTCAATGACTTTGAATCGATTAAAAAAATATTTGAAAAGTTTAAAATATATAAAATCTAGCTGTCGGCTGCGATTCCGACCACGCGCAATTAAAAAAAAACTTTATTAGTAGCCTATGTGTTCTTCCATACTATGTTCTATATTTATGCCAAATTTCAGAGCGATCAATGCAGCCGTTCTGAAGATACCTTCTAATTAACATCCATTAATAACTAAACATTCGCATTCATAATGTAAGTAAGATAGGATATTGCCAATACGTGTAAAATATCGACACGAGGTATTTACTTACTCGTGTTTATTCAAATATTATCATATATATTAGAAATCTTTTTACCATGTACATACGAGTAAAGGATACCTACTCTTATATATTCAAACATATTAAGTGACCCGGGAGGCCTCATTTTAAAACCAACATGGATGACTGGCTTTTATTATTACACAGTGGACTATATAAAAAATATCCGTTGCGTAAGGGTTAAATTTTCCAAGCTTTTAAAGCGGTAAAATTTTGTCTAACACTGTTAGGAATACATTAGCGAACAAGTTAACAAAATTCTTTTGGTCACCTGAAATTCTGGTCAGTCAACTAAAACGACACATTGCCCTAAACTGTCTTACTAATCTTACTAACATTATAAATGCGAATGTTTAGATGGATGAATGTTTGTTAGAAGTTTACTCAAGAACAGCAGAAAGGATCTCGATGAAATTTGGCATAGATATAGAACATAGTCTAGAAAAACACATAGGCTAAGTATCTTTTTTTAATACCTCGCAGACAGAGTCGCGGGCGACAACTAGTATAAATGGTAGTATAGCTACAAATTGCCATATAAAATGTGTCAGTAATTGATTTTAAAGTCACGTTCGATATGACAAAACGAGGTAATGTTTATTTTGATAGAAGTAATAAATATTCAATAGGCGATGTCGAATTAACATTCATTGAGCATACAGATTACTGACCTTGCCCCGAATGCTGTTGCTACAGCGGTAGCCTTAGTACCATCGTCTTGTTCATCTTCTTCTTGTTCTTCCTGATCAATACCATTATCTTCATTACTAACATCTAGACCACTCTGTAAAGCATCTTGTCCTTGAACTATAGGCTCTGCTCCGAACTGATTAAATTGCTGAGGGAATTGATTCTGGTAATACTGATTCAAATCTTGAGGATAATTCGCCTGACTTTGTGGTATAAAACCTTGTTGAGATGTGTATTGAGTTTGGATTTGAGGTTGGTAAGCCTGTTGGGGTTGGTATACTTCTTGAGGTTGGTAAGTTTGTTGTGTGTAAATGTATTGTGGTTGTTCGTTGGTATCAATTGCTTCTGCTTGAGGGTTTTGTGGTGGAAGGTTCGCTTGGGGCTGGTATACCACTGGTGTAGCCTGAGGGTACTGCTGAGGATTGATTGGTTGATATTGGTTTACAGGTTGGTATTGTGGTAATGGTTCCTGTCCTTGTAAAGCTGGTTGATATTGATTAGGAACCGGTTGATATTGTGGGAGTGGTTCTTGGTTGAACTGGGGTTGTATCGGTTGGTATTGGTTGACGGGTTGATATTGAGGTAGCGGTTCTTGGTTGATCGTTGGTTGCGCAATCGGCTGGTATTGAGCAACCGGTTGGTATTGGGGTAAAGGTTCTTCCGCTTGTACAATTATAGGATTAGCTGGTTGTTGAGTTTGTTGGACTAATAAAGCTGGTTTCTGTACGATTGCTTGTTGAGCTGGGATAAAAGCTTGCTGCTGCGGAGCAATTTGGTTTTGAGCTAAAACTGATGGGAGCGCTGCGAAGTGAGTTTGGCCGTCATAACCAGCGGTTTGCTTCGCAGGGGCCCCTTGCTGTGGCGGTTGATAATAGACTTGTTCCCTAATCTGTCCGAACTGTTGCAATGGTAAGAATTGTGGCTGTAACTGCAGCTGTGCTAATGAACTTAAGAAGAATTCTGGTGGGTATTCTTGGAGATTTTGCTTAGATACTTCGACTGATATCTTCGCTTTCTTTGGCAAAGCGTCCTTGTCTAGTTTATCATCATCATTGTTCAAGCTAGGCTCAGTTGTAGGTTCGGCTTGCTTGGGTCTTGCAATAGTTGTGGTGGCTGGTGTAGTTTGAGCGAATTGGCGAGGTGGCTGTGGGTTTGGTAGACCGCTTGCGGCGTTGGGGTTAGCAGGGAATTGCTGCTGTCTTGACAACTGACGAGCCTTTTCCTGTTGAAGCTGGAACTGAATAGTTTAGTAATGAACTTCTTGTTCATGAAATACTTAGTTGAGTAAGAGATTAATCCTTAGGTTTTTGACACCAAACTATATACTGAGTATAAAGCACATCGTTATCCCTGCCTTACATCTTTGACAAAACCAAGATCACAAATTTTTAAACTGGGATTTTGGTCCCAGAAACCCACGGTTACTCTGCTTTATGGACCATAAACTAACTTTGTTTTTCCCTTGTAATTTCCTTCAAATCAAAGTCGTAATGTAGTGAAATATAACACCGTATGTTTAGTTAATTGGTGACGAAACACGCATACTTAAAGGCACGTATGTAGCACTAATTATGTATTCAACAACACTAAGGATTGAATTTTAATCAAGTCAATTTGGGAACGCTCAGATATTCCACACCTGTGTTCTCTAGTTACTTCAATTACTTTGTAGGGCAACTTACGTGTTAACATTCATAAGCGTAGAAGACTCGCAACTTGCATCATGTGTTAGTTGAAGTATATTTTTTTAGTAACGGTTTTTTAAGGTTACAGTACAATAATATCATAAATGCGAATCTTTAGATGGTTGGATTTATGGATGGATGTTTGTTTGAAGGTATCTCCTGAAAGGCTGCATGGATCTCTATGAAATTTGGCATACATATAAAACATAGTCTACTAATTATGTTTTTTTTTTAATTCTGCGTGTACGGACTCGTGGGCGACCAGTTACACTTATAAATGTGGTAAGAAACATAGAATTAAACAAATAACGAAATTGCAATGTAAACTGGCCATTTTTACGTTTTTGAGATATGAAAATAATCCTTGGACTATTTAAATAAAATTGATGAGGAAAAATTAATTTTAATACCTGAGATTCTTGAAAGTTAGATTCCAATCCTTTGATATCACTGTTGAAGTTCGGACCAACATATTGCTGTCCGTTGATTGGTGATACCTGGAATATCGGCAGCTGTTCCTGTGTAGGCAAGCCTTGGACTGATACATCGGCGACAGGATCAAAACCTGGTCTGTTGGTACGGGGGTCGACTGGCGGAAGATATTCAGCTCTTTGAGGAGTCTACGACAAAGAATTTTTACATTAACCACATGTTAAGGGAAATTAGACATTTATTACTGCACACAGAATTGTCAAAGGTGGCAACAAGCCTGCCCGTAGAATTCGCTAGAACGACATGGATATTTGCGAGGCCCGTCTCCGTAAAATCTTCGTCAAAGAATGTCAAAATGTATGTGACCATTGTTAGTGTACTTTACGTCCACTAGGGGCGCTGTATGAATGTTCTTGAAAATTTTCTCACAAATATTCATGCTCCTGTTTTTTTACAACGTTACTCTAGAACTAATGGAGGATGTCGACGTTGAACTGATGTAACAAAGATAGTAGACACTCTGAAATAACTTAAGTCTACTAACTTAGTTTATTCAGTGCGGATAAAATCGCGACTATTTTTTTTAATACATCCAACAAACCTGAGAGGGCGCTTTTGATGGCAATTCGAAGGCGGGACCGCTGGGCCGCCAGCCACTGGGTGCATAAGGAGCCTCGCTCAGGACTCCACTCACCAACAATAAAATCAGCAGTTCCTGAACATAACAACCATAGAGTTATGTATTATATAGAAAGGTACTAAAGATAGTAACGGATATAGAGTTATGAATAAATAGAAATGAATAAAAGATAGTAACGACCATAGGGATAACAATAAGCAGACAGGTGCTGAAGATAGTAGGACATAGAGTTAAGAATATTAGGACAGGCAGTAAAAATTAATTTGTTAGTACTTTTTAAAAATACTAAAATGTTATGGCAGTTTTTAGTTTTTAAATCATTTTAAAAAATAATATTGTTAATTCATGTCTAAATTTCACGTTTATAAATTTAAAATCCGCTTTCTGTTTGTATATAAAAATCAAAAAATTATTTATAAACTAAATATTACTAGTAAAAGGAACGTATGTTTTTCGTTTGAAAAATCACGCATCGAAATATTATTACAAAAACATATTTCTCGGAATCCATCGAAAAAATTGGATAAAATATTTCATATTTACTTTATAAAGTTATTATGAAAAAAATGTAATAAAATATTATAATTCCAGTATAATTTAGAAAAATATATTTTTATTTTTACTATAATTTCAAAAAAATATTAATAGAAATTAAAATAAGATTAATAAGTTTTAATCGTATTCTTTTAATTTTAAGTTTTATTAATAAATGATTAATTATTCCGATTGAATATGGCAACCCTATCAAAGATTAAAGATCTTAAAATCATAGATTAAAAAACCAAAAGAGCACAATAATTTAGCACAAACACAACACAACATATCACCTTCATTTTCGTTGACTTTCGCTTGTTGCTGTTGACGAGCACCGGTTTTTATAGACAATGCTTTATTCAATTATAATTCAGACAACGAACATATGCCGACCTTACGAATTTACATAGCCTACGCACTCGGTTATGTCTGGGATACGACCCTTTTTTAACCGATCAAAAAGAGCTTCTTAATTCGTCTGTATATTTTTTTAAGACACTGAGGAATAACATCATCATCATACTCAGCCTAAATTTGTCCACTGCTGGACGTAAGCCTCCCCCATCGATTGCCACAATGCCCGGTCCTGTGCCGCCCGCATCCAGTGCACTCCCGCAACCATGACCAGGTCATCGGTCCATCGTGCGGGAGGAATGACATACACGTATGGAAATTAAATAAAAATCTTAAGAAATATTTATTAGTTTCTTTACAATATCTGTCCTATTCTCTATTCTTAATTAATTTTACTTTACTTAAATTTCATTTAAGTTTAACTTACATTTACTGTAATTTAATTTTTTTTTCCTGCAGTCAAATAATTTTATATACTTCTGTGAGATATTATTCTAAAAGTTAACAACTGTATTATAAATAAACAATCTTATATATAAAATTCTCGTGTCACAATTTTCGTTCTCATACTTATCCGAAACGGCTTGACCGATTCTCATGAAATTGTGTGAGCATATTGAGTAGGTCTGAGAAACAACCAACATCTATTTTAAATCCCGCGCGGACGGAGTCGCGGGCAACAGCTATTAATGTATATATTTTTGTTGTATGTAAGTTTGTTCATTTTATCAATTTAAATATTACGGTCTATAATCTAAACAATTGAACCGATTTTAACAAGTGAGATATAAAGGTACACAATTTCTGAATGCCTAAAAGGTTAGTTAGTCGAGTTTTTTTTTAAAACAAACTTGCCCTGATTCAAAATATTTAAAAAAAAATAAGGTTATGTAAACTTAAGCATCCACATACATGCTGTTCGTTTATTCTTCATTAATTCAATAAGCCCATATTAATACCGTACTGTAAGTACAGGACATAACTGTAATAAGGAAGTCTAACAAAAAGTTACACCATGTACTACGTAACTCGACAATATCAAACATATGAGACTGACCACAGACATAAGGGACGTGGTAACAATATTGATAGCTTTATTTGACAATTTTTTTACCAGTGATAAGTAATATACATAACTTAGGGTCATATAAATCACGAATATGTAACAACAAAGTTGTGTTTGAACTTATATGTTTGTATTTGTTTGTGAATCTTGTAGTGAGAATAAATAAATATTATTAATATTATTATTATTAATAATCCGTAAGTACGTAGGCTACTTTTTTTGTATTTTTTTTAATCATCACCATGATTATAACTGTGGTACTACTGAAGGCAGCAGATGTACGCGGGCATGTTATAGGCTTTTTTAATTTTGCGATAACAAAATCGCAGGCGACTGCTATTCTCTAAATATATATGTAACTTTTTATAATTTGTTTTCTGTATAGAAATACAGCTCAGTTTAGATTGAATTCAATTTCTCAGCTTTACTTTAAAGTATTGCAACAATCACTTAAACTTTGAAGCGCACAAGTTTTATAACTAAAATGTCGCTGTCTGAAAAATGATACGACATTTGCTGTGTATTGCTTTATTTAAAAAAAACTTCGTTCTAGAGAAATTGATTTTGAAAATCAACGAAATTAAAAGAAAAGGAGATTAGTACGAAATACGATTGTTTTGAAGTCCTCTTAAAAAAGTACAAAAATGGTTGATTCCCGCCAAAATATGTTTTTGGGTTTTTATACACTGCCGAAATTAAAAATAAAAAGCTGTCAACCCCAATTTTTTAAAAACAAAAATCAAACAAATATTTAATGCTGTTCATATTTGCATTTAACTGTAACATTTTCTTTAATAATTATTATTCATGACAACAATAAAAACAAACAATTAGCAATTTCTGTAACCATAACTAAATTGTCTCTTTTATTTTCATACCAACATAATAACAGCTTAGCCATAAACAATTTAAAAAATAATTATCCACTCGTGGCGACGTCATACATTTTCCACACGATTTTAATTGGTCGGTTCGCTACTTCAAGTTGTTACCCCCATTTCTGTGAGGGTTTTTTTGCCACGATGGCCCTCATTATAACCTCTTGCAGCTGATCTAGCTCCGAGCTACACTTCGACACTGGCAACACTTAAAAGTTTCACGTTCCAGATTTGAAATGGCTGGAACGATGTTACCGTTAAATATTTTTTTTTAATTTCGCATCCGACTTCAACCTCTTTTTTAACAGCCAGTTGACATAAAATTAAAAAAAATAGTGTGGAACTCGTAAAGTTTTCTAAAAATTATAAACTGACAAGATATGTGACATTTTAAAAATTTAAACGCGCTAACCTAGTTCTTGTTTGTATTGTTCGTTAATGACGTTATGGGGTTCCACTGTCGAAAAATTTTATTTTTATCTCTATTTTCACAAAATCAGACAATTGACTTTTTTACACGTATGAAAGAAGACAGTGACAATATTTATTATCTAACCAGCTGCTACCTGAGATTTTACCCGCGACTTCGTCTGCGTGAAATTAAAAAAAAAAGTTTTTATATTGAGCTTGACCACTATCCCACTATGAGGTCGTAATATGCTGCACCATAGCTTAGTAAATACTTATTAACTCTACTCTTGAAGGCTTCAAGATGTTAAGTAGCCTACATGTTCTTCCAGACTATGTTCTACATCAATACCAAATTTTACCCAAATCCTTACAACCACTCTTAGGTTACCTTCTATCATAGATCTATCCATCGATTCATACATATTAACATTTGCATTTATAATATTAGTAAGAGAAAATTAAACGTACAAAAAGTACATCTTATATATAAAATTCTCGTGTCACTATTTTCGTTCCCATATTCCTCCGAAACGGCTTGACCGATTCTCATGAAATTTTGTGAGCATATTGCGTAGGTCTTAGAATCGGCCAACATCTATTTTATAATCCCGCGCTTACGAAGTCGCGGGCGACAGCTAGTGGTTATATAAACAAAAGTCCATTAAACCAAATTCAAAAGATTCGCAACAACAAAGCATTTCGTCTCCGTAACTCCAGGCCTGTAACGGATTAATGATTTTCTTTTTTCACTGGCCGACACGATTTTCCTCTTTCCTGGCCTGTGACGTGTTTCTTATTCCACACATTCACCAGAATATTTTTGAATGTACACTAGCATTGAGCGCCCCCAGGAAATCCTTTGTTACAAACGTGATACGAATGTGGGAACAGATAAAAAACCAAAGAGCAAAGTTTCATACGTGCTTAACAAATTGCCAGACAATTTGCACTTAGAATTCGCAATAAACAGGAATTTAAAAGATACTAGCGAAAAGTGATGATTTAGGAAAACTCGTAATGCCAACCTTGGCATAATTAAAAAAAATAATATACATTTTATTAAAATAAAATATAAATTACTGGAGTTATCCCAAGTAAATTAAATCTAACTAATATTATAAATACGAATGTTTAGATGGATGGATGTTTGTTTGAATGTATGTCCAAAACGGTTAAACGAATCCGACTGAAATTTGACTAGAAGTAACAGTCTGGAAGAACACATAGGCTACTAAGGTATTTTATAATACCGCGCGGACGGAGTCGAGGGCGATAAGTAGTCCACATATAAATTGAAATAACAGACCCAATTTCAAATAAACAAAAGTTAATTACAGTAATGTGTACTACAAAACCGTCAGCAAAAATTTCGGTATACTTTAGGACTCTCCTTCGCCTTATTATGGAGAGTTTAGAATGTATTATGAGCAATTCTTAATCCATATTTTTTTAATATTATAAAGGCGCCAAAGACATCACATCACATCGTCACATCAAATAGTCAAATAGCAGTAAACATCTTGTAGCAGATCTCATTCTGGCCTTTATCCAAACAAATACATCGTAACACTTGGCAGGGATTTGGTCATAAACAATAGAGAAGGTTCCATTCGATAGAGTA